TTTTTTTGTGGAAATTTTTAAGTACATGTGTTTCCTGGAAATTGTGAGCTTACACTGCATCCGTGTTTGGCAGCTTATAGGATCATATTTCCATATCTTTAACAATAATAGTCTTCATAGATGTCTGTGTCTGTATTGGTCCTATTTCCTATTCTCTGATATATTAAAAACTTGTATGATTTACATGTGCATATTYGGAAATGTTAATCAGCTTTATTGCTCTGCTCTCATAAAGGCACTGGAATTTGCAGCAGTGCTGCTCGGCAGCTGTACAGTTTTATAAATAGCATTTCATMAGAATTTAGTGTCTGTGTTTCAAGGATGCCTGAAGCTGACTCAGAGTCTCCATTTCACAGACAGAGAAAATGAAATGAGGTGGTAGAAAGGACTTTTCTAGTGCCAGACTGGGAATGAGATCCTGCCTCTGTTCATTGCCCACTGCCATTCTTCCCTCCCAGGGAACAATCACAGATGGAAACAAATGGGAAGGGTCTAACAAATGGATGTAGGAAAGATGGGGTTCTCAATCCCAGGCTGGGATTGAAGCTTGCAGGGGTCTGACTGGAGAATRCTGCAGAGCAAGGGCTGCTCTACATCTCCACTGAAATCATGAAGTCTTTGGCATTGAAGATGCTGCTGCAAAGATCTCTGCACATGTCTTGGCATAAAAATCTGGAGGTCAGACACAAAGCACTGAAACTCTCTATGGTGCCCTTAGAGATTGCAGTCCTTTCCTACAACACTGAGACAGGGAAAGAGGAGAATCCTACTGGTTTTCTTATTGTTGCTATTGTGCTCTTCTTCAGGAATCTTCCTTCTAGATTACAAGGCTGTATGTTAACCTCTCCCCATTGGAAAGGCAGCCTCTGGTAACTCTGTCACACATCTTCCCAATGAGTTACTTGGGCTTCTTGCTTTGCCTTTTTCCTGTTCAGTCCTGTCTGTCCCTTTGAGTTGATGGTACCATTCTCTGAGCAGAGGAAGGAAAGTAGGGGAAGCCCTTAAAAGAAACTGCAGTCCATTAAGTAAAAGCAGCAAAGACTTTCCTTGCACTGGTCAGTTCATTTCAGCAGGAATGGGCATAAAAGCAGGGAGCTACAGCAATMTCATGGATACGAAGTGCCAGAGGCCCTGCCAATTGAATTCTGAAATTAGTGGTGGGTCTGCAGACCTCTCTGAGGGTCCTCCCTCCCTCCATGTTGCCTCTCTCTGTTTTTTTTTTCCACTCTGAGAGTGTGGAGTGTGGCAGTCACAATGCAGAGCGATGCTGAGATGGGCTCGTGGCACAGCCAGGCTCAGCACGAAGCCRAGTGAGCAGGTTTCAGGATAACAGCAGGCCTTCCTCAAAGGAACAAGGATTTGGGAAAGAGCACTGGAAGATGGATGGGATCACAAGGTGGGGTTAGGCAGTGGGCTGTGTCTCACTGACCAGGGACTGCACCAGTGGGAGTATGGTAATGACAGRAATTATTGTACAGAGAAAACTTGGAGAGCTGGGGCCAGAGGGGTCAGGAAAAGGTGTTTACCCAAGGCCATGTGTGATGCAGAAAGAAGGGCTGGAGTATGGAGATGGAGAGTTTGCCCTGCCTTTGGCAGCAGCTGAGGGAGTGTATCAGGGTGCCTGGGGCTCCTTGTGAGCTGAACAGCCCTTCATGGGCAYGGTTTGTTTGGCAGGAAAGGAGGGGCAGCAGCTGCACCCTTGCTCCCACCGCAGAATTGCAGGGCTGCAGCCACCGAGTGTCTGTGGTTCTCTGGAGCAAACCTTGCTGATCTCACCAGGGCTCTGACACCCTGAGAGCATGCCTGTGAGCTCACATCAGGCTGCAGGGGCTTTCTGCTGACTGCTAAATTTATTTTGCTTTCATTATTTGAGTAAACCTGGGAAATTTTTGAACACCACAAATGTTCCCCAAGTGTTAGAGGCCTCAAGGGAATCTCTCTGCCTGGGTGTTTGTTTCTCGTGGTGGAGGCAGCACAGGCAGCTGGACAYTTGCAATCCCCCATATCAATGCAGGTTGAGGGACAAACAGATTGGGACCAGCACGGCTGGCAAGGACCTGGGGCCATMGGTGGATGAAAAGCTGGCCATGAGCTGGCCATGTGTGCTGGTAGCCCAGAACCCCCTGTGTCCTGGGGCTCTTCCCCAGCAGTGTGGGCAGCAGATGGAGGGAGGGGATTSTCCCYCTCTGCTCTCATGAGACCCCACCTGGAGTTCTGCCTTCAGGTTTGGGAKCCCCAATGTGAGAAGGATGTGGAGCTGCTGTASAGRGTACAGAGGAGGCCACAGAGAWKCCCCAAGGGCTGGAGCACCCCTGCTGTTTATGACAGGCTGAGAGAGTAGGGTTTGTTCAGCCRAGAGCTGGGTTTGTTAAGTCTGGAGAAGAGCAGGCTTTGAGGAGAGACCTTACTGCAACCTTTCAGTATTTAAAGGGAGCCAGTAAGAAAGATAAGGATGGACTTTTTAGCAGAGTCTGCTGCAACAGACAAGGGGTGATGGTTTTTGAATTAAAAGTGTGGACCAGACTWTGTGGCATGGCTTGGAGGCCCTTCCTGCTTGCTGTCCATGCATCCTTGCAACTTGCTTCCAATGAAATYATGTCCCCAAAATAATACAGGTTGCTTCTCCAAAGTCTTGTCCCATTTGAGAATAGCTTGAGAAGTCCATACCAGGTATCATCAGCCAATACTCTGCAGGGAGCTCATTTTTAAGTCTTTCTGTGCACATCTGTGTGTTTCTGCAAATGTTTAATTGCTGTGAAAACACAGCCACACAGCCTTAGAGCATTATGTGACTTGAGGGCTTTATCTTGGAGCAGGGGCTGTGGGTTGGATGCTCATTTGCATGTGATGCCATTTCCTCTGTTTTAAACATCCTGCTGTCATTTTCTCTGAAGAGTTTCTTGTAGGTTCTCCTCACTRAACCATCAGGGCAGCCTCCCCCTGCAGTCAGTGCTGTGCATGATTCTCTTTGCTGCTACATATGGGAGGCTGTTTTTTTTCTTTTTTTTTTCCTCTGGTCTGTCTCCCTGGAGTCCCTTAAGTAGATATTTCATGCTTATTTAAACACGTGTAGGCCAAATCAATGAGTTCTCACTAGCTTTGTTCATACAGACCCACAAGGATATTCAGAGTGCATTTGGCTGATTCACTGTACAGATGTTCAYTCTGCAGCATTGTCACTCCTACTGGCAAGCAATTCCTAGTTGCAGGATCCAATGAAATAAAAATGGGTTAGCACTTAACCCAAAAGTCTTTCCTGTTGCCTGGGTAGCCTGGGCTGCAGTCAATTCATTGCCTTCTCTATGCACATGCTGGCAAAGGAGCAAAGATTTCACTGACCTCATTTATGGCTASTTGGTCATCCCTGCCTTAGCCCAGGAGTAGATACACACAGGAGAGCTGAAATTATTGTCCAAATAAGGCACTTTATTTTACTTTACTTGTAGACATTTAAATGAAAGCAAGATTGATTCCACCTCAACCTTAATCAAGTAGATGACCAARCAGAATTTTAATTGGTTGTGGTTGTTTTTTTGTTTTGTTTTTTTTTTCCTTCCTCAGGATATCCAGTGAGAATCACCATGAGGAACAAAGGGTGGCTCCAGAATATTTTCTTCTGCCTTTTATTCCAATACAGTAAGTCCTGAGATATTTCTTCCAGGTTGTTCACCCACGGGATTTATCTCAGTGGCTGTGTACGCTGGTTCTGATGAGATGTGCATGGCACAAGGGACAGCAAGCACAGGGTAAAGTCCCAGGGGAGAGGGTTCCATGGAGTGATGAGTGGAGGAAAGGCACAGGAAGGTGCCCAACTGCCAGAGCTCAGGCTGTGTATTGCTCTGGGGAGTGCAGAGCCTGCAGAGGCAGTGCCTACCTTGCACTGAAATGTCTCCTGGTGACATTAGAGTAGGATCTCCCCCACCAAAAAAACCCTTTGCTGCAGAAAGGGATCTGGTGGCAGAGCCCAGGATATCCCAGGGCTGCTGTTGGCTGGGCAGCCAGGGTCAGTGGAGTGAGCCTCTTCTGGTCTGAGCTCTTTGCTCAGGGCTGGGCTGTGAATACAGTCACTCCCTGTTTTTTACTGATTCCTACCCACACTGTGAGCTCCAGCTGACTCAGAGCTGACTTTCTGAACAGATCAGCTGGACAGAAAAAGGCAGTGACAACCATGTCTGCAGGGAACCATGCAAGWTTAGTATCTTACCTGCTGCTTGTAGGCAGAGCACTGGACCTACTCCAGACCTAAATTARGAGAAAATATGCATTCAGAATTGTATCTTCCTGTCACTGGGAATCATTGTGATGTCTGGTCTGAATTTTGTGTGATGMAAACCAGGGAATTACCATGTGCTAATTTCAGTTTGGATCAATCTAGATCTTACTGATAGAAGTATTTGAGTTTTGTTTCTGAAGCTGCCAAGGACAGACATTTCATCCTAGATCTAACTAACTGGGTTTAGGACACTTAATCATTCCTTTTCCAGTAAAAATCTGTCCTCTTAATTTTGTTAACAGGTTCTTGCCCAAAGACACACTTGCAACTTAGCAGCTACCTAGGAATAGTAGTCTGTCTGACTAATTAACATAATAGCATAGAAGAACACTAATTACCATAGCTTAATAGCTTATTAATACTTGCTGCTCTCTCTAAAGGAATACAAGAGATTTCTAACCCCATTTTTCTAGGAGAATAAAGTTAGGCTAAAAGAGAAAAAGCATGTTGTTTGGGATTCTGAACTACTAATAGTTGCTTGGTCCAGGACCCTCAGGAAGAGTCTACCRAGGATTCAAAATGAAAAGTGAAAACTTATGGAAAATTTTAAAACAGAATCCTGAAATCAGTGTGAAATCAAAAAGTCAAAATGAAAGTTTAAAAAAATCATGTGTACATCCTTAGGACCAGTCTGTTGCAAACATTCCCAAATTTCTTCTGCCATCATCTGAACTCTTTGGGATTTGGGAGATCTTGCATGCAAATCTGAGCACTGCCCAGAGCTCATGTGGGGAGAGTAGTGTGTGAGTACAGGGAAGTCGATGTTKTGATGGGTGACTTCAGCAGGGAAAAGCCGAGCTTTGTTTTCCTTTGAACTTAGCCCAGCCTAGCAGGAAGCTGCACCCTGAGCTGGGCACGCCTGCTGCACCCTGTGACTGTAAATGCAGGAGTTTGTTTGTGGGGACAGCCAATTGATCTGGAGGGTGGAACAGATGTTCCTGGTCTGTCAGTGCACTCACTGTCTGCATTCCATGGTTTAGAGAAATTACAGTAACTAAAAATTTGAAATATTTTTTGTTCTAAACTTCCTCAAAAAAACATAATTCAAGCCTCTGGAGCTGGAACATAAAAAGTATTGATGCTGCAGATATCAAGCTTTAGAAARCAGAAAAGAAAATGGCAAAGAAAAATTACTAGAATAACACTTACAAAAAAACATGTGTAAAGCACTATGTAGATGTACAATGAAAACTAGACTAGCAAAGAAYAACACCCAATTTAGAAACTGGTATCATTAAAATGTTTGAATATGCTACTGTTTCTCATTGGGTTATCATGCCTCTTCTATGTGCCATATAAGCTGAGACTCTTGCAGAAATATATGACTCTGCTGTAGTGRTTGTATGACAGGGGACAGGGATAAGTCTGGAAATTCAGTCACAATTTGAGCATTTCCTGATTTTGGCTGCCACAGTGTTTTTAATAGGCTTTTGATGCTTATCTAGCTGTAAATGACTTGTCACCCTGTGGAGCTGGGASACATCTTATGCCCCAAGACTGGAGACCTTCAGCAGGAGGGAGGAGGGTTGTGGGAGACTGACCTGTTCCTCTCAGATTTAATGGGAATCCTTAAGAGTGCTTATGTAGATACAAAGTTCTGCTTGCTTTATCACCCAAGCTGATATTGTGTTTTCTCTCTCCAAACTTACAGCCGTGTGTTGTGAAAACCTCACTTGYTTTGTGGACTATGTACAGACCCTGTCCTGTATCCTGCGAAACGAGCTGGGTGCCAGTTCATACAATCTCACTGCAACATGGTACGTCTTGGTAGGATCAGGATCAGCAAAGTCCAGWTAGCAGGAGCCTCTTCAGGGCCGTAGCTCAGTGATGACCTTCTGTCCTCTTTGTTAKGTAGAAATCCTGTTCTTCCTGCCATGCTGCTTTTTCACTATTTTGCACTCCAGTTTAGAGCTGATTTCTTCCCTAGCAAAAGACCCCAGGTTCCTGTCTCCACTGACTGTGCYTCTTGCTGCTGACTGCTCTGCTGGYTGCATCTTCCTTGGCATTGCCTTCTCTCCTGCCATGGGAATACCTTGCCCTTGGCTGCTGTTAAYAGTGATCTTTCACCCATGTGCATTGGCCAACCTCGTGCAGGCTGCCCAGTCCCCTGTGGCTGCCCTTCTTCCCAAAAATGGATACCATCTTGGGCTGTGTAGCCCTGAAGAGCATCTTTCCTTTCCAGAAACATTTTCCTGTTTCTCTCAATGGTGCCAAGCTGAGCAAGTACAAGGGAAAAAAGAAATCTGTTGAAGTTATTTTTTTTTTAATTGAACATGTTGATTTTTCATTTTAATAAATTCCTGTGCCTGGTGGTTCAGCCACAAATTAATCCAACAACAGCATGTGATACATGTGGACTTGTTTGTTTTGCCTCTTTCAGGGCTCCTGAGGAAGATCCAGAAAATACTGTGGCTACCTGCAGTCTCCTGCAGYTGTCAATGAACACAAGTCACACAGAGTATACGTGCACTGTGGACATGACTGAACTCCTGGCAGATACCAAAGTCCAGGTGGATGTTACAGGAATAGCTGATAGGCAGCATGTGCTTTCCAAAGAATTTTATTTGTCAGACAACGGTAAGTAAAAAATGCTGAATTTGATAAATACTCTCTAACTTTATGTGCTAGGATAGTCTGGGCAAGGACTGAGAGTGGCAGCAAGCAATGTTTGCTGTACTCTCAACTGCATAAAGCACTRTGCTCTTATTGCTGTTATTGAGGCTGAGCTTAGAGCTGGCTTGGTCCATGCTTTTCATGGGAAAATTCCTTTTCCCCATGAAGSAGTAGGTGATAAATTTGCACCTTAAACCAGTCTCATACCTAGACTATACAAGAGCTTGCTCTTGGCTGGATTCTAAAGGATAGGAGGAATTGCTTTATGTTCATGAAAGGTAACACCATCCTCTCTTCCAGTCAAACCACAGCCTCCGTTCAACCTGACCGCTTTGTTCTCAGAGGGTTACAATATTTCTTGGGAAACCATCTACCAGAACTCTTCCCTCTACTTTTTGAAYGGGGAGCTGGAATATCAGCTGCGTTACAAAAGAAGAACTGACACCTGGGAGGTAAGTGAGATGTCGGTTTACCATCAAATAGGATGTGTCASAAAAGAGGAGGTAGGACAGTAGTCAGGACAGTAGCACTGATGTGGAAGAAGGGTTTTCACGGTTTACAACAAATGTCTCTCTGCTTGACCAGACTGAAAACAGGCAAAACCAAAAATTGAGAAGCAGAARCTGTGTGAGAAGTATTACATCCTGAGAGGAAGGCTGATAACTCATTTGATTCTCATGCTGTCCTGCATKAAAGGGTCCCCAGGACTGCATGCAGTTGCTGACCAGTCAGAGCATGGGCTTGCAGAAGCAACATGAAAGCAGAAGAGGTTACTTTGCAGGCATCCTCACTGTGCAGCAGTGAGAACAAAGTGAGAGCAGTCACTCTAGCCTTGAGTGTTTGGTGTTTAATCATTCACAGGCTCAGAAGACTAAAACTGTTCATGAAGATAAACRGACACTGGTGATCCTGCCGTGGGAACTGCAGGCAAACACTGAGTATGAGTTCCAAGTGAGAGCCAGACCCCGGGAGGACAGTGGCTATGGTGGTTTTTGGAGTGAATGGAGTTCCCCGCTGCTGTTGAAAACCAGCCCTGCCGGTACGTGCTGCCAGATCTCCTTGCCCCATCAATCAGTCCCGTGTCAGAGAATGCTTTCAGAAATTTAATCAAATTTAATTAACTGGAACAAATTTTAAGCAGTCCAGTAAAGACAGGTATGGTTAGCTTTCTCTGTGTGAACCCCAGGCCTCAGCAGTCAGTATTGACATTCTCACTGTGTGGCAAAAGAAGAGTGTTTGGGGCTGSCTGTACATTTGGATCTGCTTGCAAGTGCACCTGYCCATTSCAATGCTTGACRAYTCTTTTTGTTCCAAGAGCYCTTTTCCTCCTCMCCATGTCCTGTTTGTTGACCAGGGTATAGATGYAAGGTGAGCATGACTGTCCTTGTCTCTTTCTCCAGCAGTGACACAGACAGCAAGCATGGAATGGCTGTTGCTGCTTGGTATCGTTGTGGCAATCGTGGCCTCAATTACAACCTTTCTGGCCAAGCAGCAGAGGTAAGGATGCTTCAGGACGTGGGAAATAATGCTTTTATTCTGTCTTGATAAAGGTGGGGTTCACATGCAGCCTTCTTTGAGTCTTGTATATCTGTGCATGGGCAGCTATGAGCCTGTGAGGGACAGCCAAGAGTGGTTTCTAGCTGATGTTCTGCCGGGGGTGACCTGTTTTTCTCTGGGATTCTGTTGTCATTCAGCCAATTGGGACAAGATGGTGCCACATGGGGATGAAGCAAGGCCCACACAGCCTCCTGAGCTGTTCTCCTGGTCTTGTCTGTGCTCTGCAGTTGCCASATAGGGCAGTATCCAGGGCTAGCCTGCCCCTTTCCAAAGCTGATGTAGGTCCCTCAGTGCTGGCTGGAGGCCTCTGTCCCTTTGGGGTTTCTCGTGCCCCTGAAGAGATATGGGGTGCTGAYGTGGAGAAGGGCTGGGCTGGTGCAGCAGCAGAGCTTGCAAGCCCAGGTCCACAGAAGAATTGCATAGGGCAGAGTTCTGGCCTGCAGACCACAAGCCAGCCCAAACTCAGTGGAAAATGCATTTCAAGCATTTGGTGCATGTCCAGGAAGGGAAGAAATGGATCCTCTTTCCTTAAGGTGAATTTGTGTGTGGCAGTGCTGAGGCCTCACCTCCAGTGAGGTTCACAAGAAGGCCATTAGATGGCTCTGGCAACACAAGACATCCTTGGAACCTCATCCACTTGCCAGCTCATGAGACTGGGGAGRTGATTCCAGTGGCTTGAAATGAATGAGGAAGTGCCTTGCTTTGCATCTGTAATGTGTGCTTTACCCCAAAGCCTTTCTCTTTTCTCTTCCAGCCTGTGGAAGAAGATGGCTTGCATCCCAGACCCTGCTCCCTTTTTCAAACCTCTGTACATGGCTCATAATGGAGATTTTAAGGTATAAATGGGCTACACAAGCGAGTGGAACATGTGACAGACTAAAAGATCATCATGCTGTCCTTGTCAAGGGATTCTGATTAGGGCAGCAGAAGGGGAAATCTATCTCAAGGGAAKGCCAAATGTCTCCAGATGTAAGGAGCAGAGCTTTCCAGTATATGCTCAGTGCCATGAAGACCTTTACTTTATGAATGTACTCCTTATTCTCTGTAGGTGCTGTCTCAATGTGTGAGCTGAGTTTATGGAATTTGTGAAGCCTGTGATCCTGACAAGAGTGTCAGAGAAAACTGCAAAGCCATGTAAACCTCTCAGAGCTAATTATTTTCAGTTACTTCACTTAGRTCTCCTGCAGTTGCCTGTGTCTCACAATAACAGCATCTCCTACACTGTTAAATTGAAGGAGTCAGTGATTTTAGAGTTTGATTTTGCCTCTAAAAGCATAAGAGCTTGGTTATTTCTGTGAAACCTCAAACCTTGTGATGCTAACTTCTCTCTCTCTCTCTCTCTCTCTCTCTCTTTCTGCAGAAATGGGTTGGTGCATCCCATATGAAAATGACCTTTGATTTCTTTGAATGGGGAATAGTCCTTCCAGAAGTCCTAGAAGTTTTCACCGTGCACCCTTCCAACAGCACCCCACAGGAGGAGCTCCATGAGCTGAGGAAGAAGCTGCCTTGCAAGCCCTGTGTGTCTTGCCTGACGGGCCCAGGTCATGATGGCCAGTCCCCGTGGGGTGGTGTGAGCAGCAGTGGAGGGACTGAGGACCAGTCCTATGGGCACCTGTCCATCGATACCGTGACCGTGGCTGATGAATTCACACCCTGTAACTGCCAGTGCAACTGTAACCACGTGTACGGGGAACCTGAGCACACCAACGAGGAAGATGATGGTGCTGGAGAACCTGGGTACCCCAAGGTTAACATTGATGATGAAGACAGAAAAATATCCGGGGATTTGCGTTTGGCTGATCTGAGCACACAGGACAAAATACTCGCCTCAGGCTCTGTGTCCACAGATCAGCTGAGGAGAACAAGTGTCCCACTCAGCCACCAGGGAGAAAGGGGAGTGGAAGGAGGGGTTGGCAGTCTCCTAGAAGCCCTTTGCTTGCAGCCTCATCAGTGGGATTTGGAAAATCCAGGCTCTCTCCCTTCTCCTGATGGTGAAAGTGTTTCTTACAGTGAAGGCTCTTATGACTTCTTCCCTCACAATGCGAGGCCTGGTGACAGTTATCCTTTGATCTGTGTRGATTTGGACACTATTGACAGTGGCTTTGTGGACTCAGACTGTGGCAGTCCAGTTGACTGTGAATTTGAGCAAAACAGTCAGGCCATTTGTGGGCCCATCCCTCTTGAGCAGGAGGAACAAGAATTTTCACGGAGCTATGTCAAGCAGTGGGTCTCCTGTCGCTCTGACAGCCCTGTCAGTGGGACACAGACAAAATAAGGTCTTTGATGTTGCCTGGCTGAGTGTGGAGCCTTTTGCATACTACTCCAGGAACGAAATGTTAACATAATTCAGAAGAAAAACAAAGTTTACTTTGTGTAAGCTCTATTATGTAAACTGAAACCTCTGAGGTCTACAGAAATATGCTGATTTCTATGGCCATCATCCTACTAATGTCTCAAATTTGTTGTGATTGATTGTTCCTGGTTTTGTTTGTTTTAGGGTTTTTGTTTTTTAGAATCCTAGATCAGGTCCCCTTATAGTGTCAGAGAAAACAATTGTACCTTGAAAGTTACCCTTCGGCTTAGGTAGATGTGCAGAATTCTTTGCAGTAACCTTATGAAGAGTACAGAACTTTAAATTATTTTCCTTGGCATTCTCACATGACTTGAGAGTTTGTTGTACATGGAACCTTAGAACCATAACCTATGGCAAGCATGTTTGCTACATTAAAGTTCCCCTACCCTTTCCAAACCATGTGATGTTACTTTTCCTTCTGCTATCTTTAAATTTATTTAATCTTTATTCCTTCTGTGATCTTTAAACTCAGCTGTAGTAGATTGTTAATTATGGAGAGTTCCAGACCTGWCCATGGGGAACAAAACCAATTCTCATGTAATCATCACAGAACTGTGTGTACTAGAGACYAAGCACAACTCAGGGTTCAGAAAGACTTTGCCTTTCCAGGTAGAGTCTGCAAATGAAAAGTCTTCAAAATATATTTAATTCTAGACAAACTCTTGCTACTGAGCTTTTCTGTTAAGTCAGATTCTCTCCCAGCACTTTCCAAGCATATTCATTGAGCAGCTTTTAGAATTATGTCAAAATTATGGAAACATTGTCCTACCTGGATTTGCCTGCCACTTCTGCCTTGGACTTGCTCTGCTGCACTTACAGGTCAGTAGAACAATTTTTGAGCAATTTCTTCTAGCTAATAAAGCCAAATATGAAACTGCACTGTAACTGTGAATTTGTTTTTCTCTCTGACATCTCTGCATCTCTGATTTGTTCAGGATGTAATTGTAGTAAAAAGTCACTGTAATACTGAAATTGAACATGAAGACACAGTGCTACTAACCCACAGGTTTCTTGGCTCTAGAAGGTCATATTTTGAGAGATCCTTTGAGGTGAATGAGGAATATTTTCAGTGTAGTAATAACCTGTTGTTGCATTGATACCAATAAACTCCCTTCCCTCACCCCTTTCTCTTAGCTGAGACTGTCAGCAGCTCCCTAAACAGGGGGGAGCACTATGGTAAAGGCAGCTGTTTCTTTCACAGATGAGTGCTGGGACAGCATTGCATTGCATCCACATCCTCTGCTTTGATTGTTCACAACCACCTTGGTATCTGCTATGTTGATTTTGGACCTACATGACTTAGTTTTGCCCATGTTGTTATTATTCCCTCAATGCATCCCTACTCAGTGCCTTCCTGGGTGGGGTGCATTAGATTTTTTGGCTTTCTGCCTCTTTATTTTCCATTTTTCTTGTCGTCTGCTGTTGTAAGTGATGGGAGGTGGTGTCTGATGCATCCTCCCTGCTGTGCTACTGGTCCCACATGCCCTCCACGAGGCAGCAGAGAATTGCCCCAGCTCCACTGCCCCGATGAGCTGACTGCCCCACACTGTCCTACAAGGGCTGCGTGCATCGTGTTCATGTCAGTGTGGATGTGTACTGGGCAGAAGCACTTCCGCTGGTCTCAAGAGTTTTCTGAAGCTTCACCTCRCAGCTATTTTCACTTCAGAATCCCCACCGTGGTATCTGACCCCAGGCTGCTTAAGGGAGAAACTCACTYGTTTTTCTGGGGCCCCTTACATCTCAGTTCTGTGTGCTCTTTGTTTCCGTTTGTATTGATGGCCCCAGGGCTGCTGAAGGAGCTGTTTCTGTTATTGGAACACTATCTGGCTCTGCATCTGATAGAAGGTGGTGGTTTGCTGTTATGTGGGGCTAGAAGTTATCTCTGCTCACCCTAGGAGGCASACTTCATGAATCAAGTGTGAGGCACACTATTAAAATAAAGGGAGTTGCTCCCTTAGAAGCTAGCGGTAACAATTAGGCTTTTGGGCAGTAAGATGTCACTGTGAATGTGGGAAGGTTTGAGGTGGGGAGATTTCAGCACCTCTTAGGAGCTAACTGCAAATGCCCTGGATATAGCAGTTCTAATTAAAAAAAAAAAAAAATTCCCCAGGAATGATAGGGCCAAAAAGCAGGTAATGGGAGAAGCACCCAAATCCATTCTCTGTGCCAATCTGGAAGTGTCCATATCCATTTCCTGCCTCCCTGTCTCTTGGCCCCAGAAGCTGATAGCGACCGATAGCGACCGACTGTTATTAATTCTGTTCTGTGAGCACTTCTCTCTTCCTCTCTGGCACTAGACCCATGYACAGAACTGACCTGATGGATTCTGGCTGTGACACTGCCACTGCATCATTGCAGCTGGGTTGGGAAGGTCTGTTCCTGAGACGCTCTAGGGTCAGGACAAAGAAGCGCTGCAGTGCTGGTTTGCCTTTTCTTGCAGAGCTGCCCTTTGAGCACAGTGCAGCAATCTCCTGCGGGAGAAATGCAGGATAGGGCAGCTCAGGGCTGCTGCAGGGCTCTGAACACAGCTGGGCACAGCTCTCCGGTGGAAGCGGTTTTGCCCCATATCCAGACAAGGCTAGGAAATGGCTTAAGGTCACTTAGAAATCTCTTTCGTTGGTCTTTTATATAAACGTTGCAAGCAGACACTTTTCAGCAAATTACTTGGCCTTTWAAATGTTAAACCTTCAGCAAAATTTCCTGTTTCTCCATGACTAATGAGAAATTGCATATATAGGTATTTTAACTCAATCTGATAATCAGAGCAGTTTTTCATTGGTTCTTGAGATTATCTTTAAAACCGGGCACAGTGAGCTCTGTTTTATTATGCCACTGCTGCTACTGCCTGATCATTCAACCACACAGCCTAAACTATCAAGGGACAGAAGTAGTGCAAAAAAGGACATTTCTCTTGAGCTGGTAAGACAGTTTAACGTATTTCTCTTCTATGCATTCCAGTATGTAATGTTAGGGGACATCTGCTGAGCTAAAATATTGAAMAATATTTTCTTTATCTAAGTGTGGAATTCGATACTGTTTCTTGAACTAAGAACCTAGAACAAAAGAATCACCAGAAGTGCCTTTTGTTCTTATAGTTTGCTGGGCACAAAGCAACACTATTGCATTAATTCTGATGGATTGTGCTTGAAAGAAGGAATATCTTGAACAAGGCACTCCCCTCTAACTGCAAGAGATGAACGCAAAGGAATCCAGCCAAAATAGTCCTCAGTGTCTGGGACTTTACAGACATAGATTTACTTTTTAATGTGTGTGTATAAATTTGTGTGTGCATGAATATTGCTTTATTGCAGTAGTCATCCTTTGTAACAGTTTTTTTTCCTGGGATCCAAGTATATAAAATCTAAAAGTTTGTGGCTGTTTGTGGAGATCAAATTGTTGGGAAATGGCTTTTCAAAGATGAAGAGAGAAAAACGCTGATTATATGGGGTTCTCTCTGATAAGCTGTGTAGATAAGAAAATCCAACTAATTTTTCCTTATTCCCCAAGATAAGTCTCATGTAAGCCTGTTGTGTGCATTTGCTGCRCTTCTGTCAGACACGTGCTTAGAGGCCTAGGCATTCAGAAGGTAGATAACGTATCATTAATTTTTCTTACAGGACCTTTTCTTGCAGGCAGGGATGATGATTTACCATGGGGACYCCTCCAATTACATATACCAGCAAAAGGGATTGCTCTGGAGGCTCTGCAMTTTGGTTAATCCTAATGGATGAAGGGCTGTACCTGTTGGTACAGACATGCTATTGCCTGTCACTGTTTTACTTTGCAGGTGCCAGGCAGTGTCCTGCCTTTCTGTGGTGACTGTTGGTGCTGCCTCTGGAGGAGATGTAAGCCAAGGGATTGTGGACAAGGGAGAGCAGGTTATTTATTATGAGCTCACAAGATGTAAAGAATGGAAATTGAGTATTCGAGGGTCCAAGTCTGCTGTGTCTGTCCCACTGTGAACCCCTCGTTGCATCATAGAATCCTCTGCCATGGGCAGCAACACTAGAGCAGTGTGATCCTTATGACTGCTGTGAAATGACTACTTAGCCTTTCCTTTGGTTAAGTTAAAGAGATTTACTTGGTCTTTAATTGCTGATTTCTGAGTTAAGCTATCCAGGRCTAAATCACTCTTATAGCCCTTTTCAGAACCACTTTCATATTKACAGCAATTTTTCTTTAAAGTATGGATTCGGACAAATGAAATTAATTAATGGTGTTACAAATGCCACATGTAGCTGCAATAACTTTTCATTGATAAGTATCCACAGTCTGTATGTTAGCTCCTCTCATTGCATTAATACCCTGCAGAATTTTGTTCAGTTGGTCATGTGCTGTTTTCTGAATCATTTTCTGATAAGTCTTTCTGAATTTAGTATTCCATGACCTAGTTACGACAAGCATTTATGGCTTCTAACACTAAAATTTGCATTTGAACATGCTGTATTTGCTTCCAGGTGAGCTAGAGAGCCAGAAACGTCTGACACACTTGAAATATTGSAGAACCGAACAAAGAACTTCTTGTGCCAGAGTGGGGGGAGTTTATCAAATTAGAAGCAATTACCTGGAAACATTCTGTCCTAGTTTACTTATCTAGACATAAGTTTGTTTATTTGTTTGTGTGCCTGAACAAGCTCTTGCACATGCATAATTCTACTGAATGCAGGTCTCTCTATTTCATATTTAGTCAGTATTACTGTACTTATCACAGGGATCAGATGCAACCCTGATTAGAATGATAAGCAGGAGAGGCTTCGTGCCTTCCAGCCTCCCTCAGCTAAAATCAACTAATGTTGATGCTTCCTCTAGACAACCCCCACTCTGAAGAAGTGCAGCAAAACAGGATATTTATGAAAAACCCAAAAATGAAGAGGCGGTGCAGTGAAAGCCAGAAACATTCCTTTTCTCTTGATCAGTTTCTGAAACATTGCAATCATTTTACAATTTAATTCAGACAAGGGACACCATTAGCAGGCATATTCACATGCAAGAAGTTATATGTGGTTGCTGCYGTCTAGCTTTGTGAAACCTGTACTGGAAGGATATTTTTGGTCATGGAGTCCAGCTACAGGTGCTCCTGGTAGCCACCAAATTGCTTCATCTCTYCAGTCAAACAATCCTAATGATTACTATAAAGCAATACTTGCTAAGYATAGGCTATTTCTTGCTCACTCCTGTTCAAGACTGCTTCAGATCCTTTGTAGATTAGAAATCACAATCTTATTYTATAGCCAGGCTATATCTGCTTGGTCTTGTGCTAATGCTGTACTCACTGTTTCTCCTAACCCAGCAATCTCCCTTTTCCYCAGCTGCTTCTGAAAGAGAGATCCTAATCTCTGGCAAGTTTTGTTTCATATTTTTTTCTTTTTTCTTTTTTTGCTAATAATAACTAACCCAAGGGCTTTTGAGACAGAACATTCCCCCACCCTCTTGCTACCCCAACTGTAAAGCTCAGTTCAGTGTCCATGATAGCCAAGTAGTGCAAACTTTGTTCCTTCAATATTTTTTAATTTTTTCAATAAACTGTTCTTGTTTATACTGATTAGTGGTCTCTGTCTACTCACCCCAAGTTTTCTGGGTTTTAGACTCCTTGGAGCAGCACTCTCCTTGCAGCAGTGCTGGGCTCATTTGCTGTGTTCAAGTTACAGCAAATAATGCAAATTGGAAACAGCTTTTAAAAATACCACATAATGCTGAGTAGATCAGGTCCACATTTTTCATATTAAATGTTGCCATAAAATTTCTAGCGAAAAAGTATAATTTTGAATTCAAACTTCATCAGGAGACAAGTCACAGAATGGAACTTTTGCTGAAAACGAAAGACAGTGAGCCCAGCATAACTTYGTAGAGATGTAGTGTTCCATATTGCAGAAGGTACACTTCAAACATCCTTACATCACCCTTCAGTGATCTGAGGTAATGACTTGGCCGTAAGTGTTTCTACATATCCCAATGAGTGCTTTGACCAGGATTGTATCAGTCATTCTCTAGTTCTGTCTGTCTTCTGAATATGAAAAAATTACATTGCTCCAGGAGGGCCCTGAGCTGCAAATGTCTGAAGGCTGAGATGAACATCTGTGCTCGATTGCTATCATTTTCTCTAAGCATCTGGTTTTGACTATGATCAGAAATAAGATTTGGGGAAACATGAGCATTTGTTCCAATTCACTGTGGCTCTTWGCTGCTCTTAAATTGTTGTAAACCAGATAACAAAAATGCAGGAAGAAGGAAAGACAGAACATCTACACCTTCTCCCGCTCTTGATCAAATTGCAGGAATTGTAGTTTCCTTTCAGGCAGCTGGTGCTTTAGAGAAAAGTACTATTTACTGCCATGAGAAGAAAAGTTCTATGGAAGAAATTATATTGCTGAGTTGGTGCCCTGACAGATTCAGAATCTGCTTTTGTCAGGCTGGCAGAAGCAAGTGGCTAAAGCTTCAACCCGTTGGTAGAAGTACCAAGAAAACTGCTCCTAATGATGATTCTGTTTTAGATTCTGTCTGGAATGGGAGGAGTTGTGTGGCACTTGGGCCTCCAGCTGTGCATTGCTGCTGTGCTGCTCTTTGGTGGAGGAAGAGGGACAGGTAAGAGGAGGTCTGCAATGGGTTCACTGTACAAAGCAAGRCACGTGCCTATGCTCATTATTCACAGACCCTTAAGTGTGCAGCACAAGATCTTGTGATGATGAGGAAGATTAGATGCAGTGTCAGCAAAGGAAGTACTAGCAAGCAGTGCATTTATATGGTTGGTGAACTGAACAAGGCTTCATCCACTGATACACGAATCCTGTTTGGTTTCCTCCCTCTGCAGAGCTCCCTGGCAGCCTGAGCTGCCTGAATAACTACGTGACTACAGTGAACTGCACGTGGGTAACAGAGAAGCCCATGGGTGATGGACCTTTCCAGCTGCATTTCACCAAGTAAGAGCTGCACACTGAGAGCTGTCTGCACAGCTCCAGCCCTGGCACAGGCAGGGCAGCCCTGAGAGGCAGAGATGGAGCCCAGCTGTGGGCTTTGCCCCCGCCACAGCACGAGACCCAGCACAGCCTAACTCTTATTGGATTTTAAATCTAGGGAAAGACGGGCAAGCTGATAAACCGTGATATCCCAGTTTCTTGTGGGATCACGTGCAATGAGAAAAAAATTGCTAGTAAATGGCTAAACCACAAAAAGACAAACCAACTTCTAACACATTTTGCTGTCAGTGGTGGTTTGTTCACAGTGAAAGAGGTTTTAATGCACAGCTTGTTGTTACGTCTGTGCCACGCACTTGTCACCAACTGTCCATGCACTCCTTACCCCCTACCCACCTGCTTTCCTGGCAGTGCCAGCAGCCCTCTGACTTTCAGAGGGAGCAGCTACTGGGCACCACGTGCAACTCCTGCGAGTTCTGCTGCTCTCAGCAGTAAGATTATGAAGGTGTCTACTTCCTCCCAGCCATCCAGCCATCTTTTGGATTGTTGGTTTGCTTGCTGTCTGTACTAAAGAGGTCCATGGTCTTCCAAAATGWGGTTCTGTGCTAAGCTGCCACACATCCATAAACTGAAAAGCACTTAACTGTATCACTTAAAAGAAACTTTCAGCCTTTTTGTTCTTCTAGCCTCTGGTCAAAGGGCGACAACGCCAGCTGCAAACTGAMTGCCCCAGAGAGCATGCAGAACCAGTACCACTGCACAATTAATTTAACCAGCCCGATCTTGGAAACAGATGGTTATAGAGTGTCTCTCCAAGGAAACTTCTTTGGACGTAATCATACATATGTGACCTTTCCAGAGTACAATCCCCGTGAGCACAGTAAGTATGAACCAGGACAGCTGTGAGCTCAGGCCCCACCCAGCAGCTTTGGGATAGSTCTGATGTGCTGCCTAACAAAGTGTGTCTCAAAGATAGAGAGTGAAACAATCTAAAGAAGCAACACTGCTCATCCCCAGAGAGTTCACGATGTGAACTGCACCAGTAAGGATGCAATTGCTGGGCCTCTCTATCCTGACTTTCCCTGGCCTTCAGGGAGGGTTGACTCTGGAGCACCATTCAAGAATACTTCTCACCTTCATCATGTTTTCTTGTGCCCTGGGTAATTTGCAATTGGATTGCCTCAGTTATTTGTTTGTTTGTTTGTTTGTTTTGTTTTTCCCTAAGAAATAATGTAATGGGGAGTCATGGATTTAACTGAATGTCCCTTGGCCTGGTACTTCAGAGAAATGCTCTAGTACCTGAAATCTCAAAACCTGTCTATTTAATTGTAAGGCAGAATGTGATATCCAGAGTGATTCTTTTCTTGCCAGATTATCTCTAGACTCTACTGGAGTTAATTTATACCACATCAGTAGCTGTTCTGATCCTGTGAGCTAACTTTGCCTGCTGCTATGTTAGTATCCTTTTTTAGACTCGGCTTTATCTTCCCTGTCTTCAGTCAATCTAGCATCATGCATCTTCTTTTGCGGTGTCCCAAATACTGTGAAAAAAMCCCCTGCTTCCTCTATTTGCAGTAAAACTCGATCGACCTTTAAACATCCAGAGCAATGTCACTGCCAGCAAGTGCCAGATATGGTGGAGTRTGTCGAATGTGCCTTGGTACCTGGATGAAGTTCTCCAACATGAGTTGCAGTATAAGGAGAGCAGCCTGTCCTGGGAGGTAACTGGATGAGGCATACAGTGATCCTGCCTTGTTCTTKGGGTACAATGGCCTTGCCACTCAGCTCAGGGCTCTCCACCAGCTCACCTAAGCTGGCCATTCGGGTGTCCCACATCAAGACTGAGAGATTTTATGTAAAACTTCAATACTGAAATTCAACAACTCTTCTTATGAGCCCTGCAGAAGTCGTCTATCATCATGCAGGTCCTCTTCTTGCATCTAAAAAAAAAAAAAAAAAAAAAAAAAAAAAAAAAAAAAAAAAAAAAAAAAAAAAAAAAAAGAGAAGGGGAAAAAAAACCAAAAAAAAGAATATTTAAAAGACTGTCCTTTCATCCTGTCTCATTAACAGCAATGCTTTGTAATACTTTGCAGGTTGCATTAACCAAGACACTACCCAGTTCACTGCCACAGGTAGAAATTGAAGCTGCAGAGCTTCGCAGGGGCATTGCTTATGCTGCAAGAGTTCGCTGGAAAGTTTCTGAAAATGAGGATTCATACCACAGTCAGTGGAGTGAGTGGAGTGAGACAACAGAGTTTCAGAGAGAAGGTACGAAGAATGTTGTTTTCATCTTCTTTCATTTCTTTTCATGTCCATGTTCCAAAAAAAAGGAAGATACCCAGTAAAATGAAGCTTTTCAAATTAGCTTTCTTCAAGTATTCATAGCCAAATTACTTTCCTTAAGGCCTTTAGCTGCCTGTTTCATTTGCAATGCTTGGTTATTTCAGGTTCTCTCTTGACTTCCAGAATTTTTATTAAAATTTTTTGTCCTGATTATTTTCCGAGGTGTCCCAGAAGTCTCTGAAAAGATCCTAAATACCAAAACTGTGCAGTTCTTATTCATACCTCTGAGTTTTGGCATGCTGCTCTATTTATTCTGGAACTGCAAGTTTTCTTCAAGGTATGTGATTTTCRTTAAGTTCCCCTTGATCTTTATGGCCGGAAGAGAGTAAATCAGGAGTCATTACATCCCTTTTCCTTCCTGCTTCTGCTGCACAGACTCAGTAATTTCCAAAAGCTCTTCTGACAGTCTTGGAATGTGACATGTTCCTTGGCTGATGATAGTTAATGACCCACTACAGAGTCCTTAGGAGACCAAAGTACCCTCGGGACTCCCAAACTCAGCCAACGTTCTAGGATGATAGTCTCTTGGAGTTAAAGAAGTTGAAACCCATWGAAATTTTTTAAGTTTCATGTAGATAAATTAAAAGTGGAAGTACACAGCAATCCATAAATGTGGTTCAACTGATGTCTGTATTAGCTACTTTACCTGGYAGAAGTCAGTAGGTAAAATACCAATATAGGCAAACTAAACTGACTCCAATTCACTTGAGAATAAGTTGTAGAGAGAAAAAAAAAGTGGTTTTAGAGCCTTGGTCCAACCTCTGCAATCTTTTGTGCTGGAAGAGCACAGGTAAATCTCCTACCTTTTYCTTTTTTGCCTTGGCATGCATTATTATGTTCCATATACACACCATTCTTAGAKAAACAAAATACATGATATCCATATGATAAAATATTTTTTACAAGATAGACTCTAATAAAGGGGCAAAGATATCTGGCAGAATTTCTCTGTTCAAATGTACTGAAACTAGAACTCTTTAAAACACTTTCAGAACCAGTGGTTTAGAACAATTAAGCTGATAAATAAATGCTTAAATAGCTCTGTGCGTATGAGTAATAGACCAGTATATTAAGTTTGTGGCATATTTCTAGGAAACTTCTAACACTGTGCTTCAGGTTAAAAACATTAAATGCATGCACAGGTGGCAGATAAATAATTATATGAGAAATCAGAAATTATGACAAGTGGGCTCTTTGTGCAATCTTTCTAATGTAAGTGTGGGGGTTTCATCCAACCAGTATCATGGAGACAGAAGACAGGAAAACTGTCCTTTTTTTTTAAGTGTTGTTTTCCCACTCTAGGGCAAAAAGCCTCACCTGCTTTAGCATTCCCACACCAGCTACCTTCTTTCAGCCACTCTATAGTTTGCACAGTGGGAATTTTAAGGTAAGAAATAAATTTAATTTCTTTCTTATGACTCTCAGTTCATGACAGGAGGGTTTTTTTTTTTCTGGAATTAATCATTCTAGCTCCTGAGCAGAATTACTGACATGTGGTTCTGATAATTCTGAGAGTTTATAGTTCCTCAGTTTCCTGTTTCCACTTACTAGCTAACCACCAGAGCTTCTGTCCGGCTTTTTGCTCCTTAGAAGTGGAACTCCTCCAGTGATTCYCAACTCAGATAGAATGCAAAAGGTGCATGCTTTCAAAGCCAAAGCAATAGCAGCAGCTTGCTTTATATTCTGGTGGTRTAATCTTGTAAAAGTTCTTTTAAAATGTTGTGAAATTAGCAGCTAGGCTTTTTACCCTAACTTTGCCTGTTGKATTTGCACTAAACATCTGGATTATTGTGCCAAAGCCATAAAGAAAAAAGAATTGTTTTGGAATAACTGTGAAAAATGATCCCAGCTTACTGATTCTTTCATTTAGGACTGGGTCGGACCGAATAAGGCTTGTAGCCAACCTGAAAGAGAAGTGGTCAGCAACTCAAGCAAAGTGAATGMAGATAGAATTTCTGATCTAAACACCCAAGAACTGATTTCCCAGATCTCCTTGAAACCTACGGAAAGCACAGATCTGGTTACTGCAGAAGAAAATCTTGTGTTTACCTCAGGTCCAAGCCAGCAGTACGTCCCCAGCAGGTACATAAGAGCTGAAGAGATAGAGGTGAGGCCAGGACTGTTGTTGGCACCAAACCATGCTGGTGATACTGTTGGCTGGAAAATCTCTGAAATAATTAAAGACAATCTTGAGAGTCCTAGTGTTGAAGGGAACTATCCCTCTCAGTCGCAGCATGGAAAGGGTGATTTTCTTATGCTTCAAGAATCTTTGGAGATAGCAGATGTGTCCTTCAGTAGTAGTGACTATTGTACTTTGTGTGACAGTGMTACCACGGGAGGTTTGATTTCTGCTGAACTACTGAAGCTTTCTAATGGCAATAGTTGTGTTAAACATCAGAAAGACCAGTGACCTTCCCTGAGGAACACTGCCTACAAAGTCCTTTGTGATCTGCTGTCACCTCCCAACACTGTCCTCCCAAGTGCCTTAAATGGTGACTGTGCAGGCAGTTTCAAACATGCACCATTTTAAAATAAATCCTCAACTTCTGTACTTCTGAAGAAGATTGTGACCAAGTCCTCTGTCTAGCAAATGCTACCCCTACAGCCATGSCAAAGCCTGATTCTGGCAATATCTGCTGTCTCGAAGACACATGGCCATGCTGTTCCCTAAATTAACCTTCTGGTAAGGTCCTGTAACCCTCTTGTCTAAGGAGGAAGCAGCAGACCTGCTTTTTTCCTCAGGAAGAACTATTGGAATTGTGCACCTCTTGGAAGCAGCAATATTTGCAATGTGATATACTCTGATTTAAACTCCATAATTTTGTAAAAACTATGCATGATTTTTCATAAAATTATGAGAAAATATTTTTGCTTAAGAAGRTAATTCTGCTTCTTTATGATATTGATGACTTCAAGTAGTTCCTGATTTGATCAGAATTTGTAATTGCTCTATTTAAAGATAATTAGACAGTAGGCCTTGTTCTTTATTGTCTTGAAAGGCTGTAACTTTTTACTTTGCAATAACTAAGCCTCATGTATTGCTTTGATTTAAACAAACATTTATTTCAAGGTTAAGTGGCTGGGCTGATCTAATGGGGAAAGGTGAAAAACAAGAACAACAGCACACATGACCTTTACTCAATCACAGCACAAGCCAGGCCCACTGCCTCTCCAGGGCTTCTATTATTTCTCCAGAACTGATGAGTCCTTTGCCTATCTGTTGAGTTTTACCAAAATAAAAAGTTTTGGAAGATATTGAATTAGTGCTTYTAAGCCACTAAGGAGTTGCAAATGTTCTGTGACAAAGACTTTGCTTTAGTTGTGGGTTTGGTTTTAGGTGGGGTTTTGTTTTTGTGTTTTGTTTCTGTTTGGTTTTGTTTTTGCTTTTGAGCAGGAGGTGTTCTTTTGGTTTGTTTGTTTCTCTTTGGTCGTTGGTTCTTTTGTTTGTTTTTTTTTTTTTYTCACCTTGGACTTCTAGTCACCTGTACTGCCCAGGGCATGGGAGCTCTATTAAGATTCCACCTAGGTCTGAGGCATGCTGAGCTTGTCTTCAGTTCTTTATGTCGCTTTCTGTATAGCCTCTGGGYCCGGGCCTCAGGTAGGTTATATTTTGATAGTCCCCTTGGGTGGACGTGGTAATGTCCCCCACTCCTCCGGGCACTGTCCCCACTCCCTCAGTGTCTCCGCTCCCCGGGGCAGAGCAGTGTCCTTTCCCTCCGGGGCAGCGTTCTTTCTCCCCGGGACAGTACCCTTCCCCTCTGGGGCAGTGTCCTTTACTCCGGGGTAGTGTCCTTCCCCTCTGGGGCAGTGTCCTTTCCCTCCAGGGCAGTGTCCTTCCCCTCTGGGGCAGTGTCCTTTCCCTCCAGGCAGTGTCGTTCCCCTGTGCGGCAGTGTCCTTCTCCTCTGGAACAGTCTTTTCCCTCCGGGCAGTGTCCTTCCCCTCCGGGCAGTGTCCTTCCCCTCCGGGCAGTGTCCTTTCCCTCCGGGCAGTGTCCTTCACCTCCGGGCAGTGTCCTTCCCCTCTGGGACAGTCTTTCCCTCTGGGACAGTCTTTCCCCTCCGGAGCAGTGTCTTTCCCTCCGGGACAGTCTTTCCCCTCCGAAGCAGTGTCTTTCCCTCCGGGACAGTTTTTCCCCTCCGGAGCAGTGTCCTTCCCCTCTGGGACAGTCTTTCCCGTCTGGAGCAGTGTCCTTCCCCTCCGGGCAGTGTCCTTCCCCTCTGGAGCAGTGTCCTTCCCCGCTGGGACAGTCTTTCCCCTCCGGGACAGTGTCCCCGCTCCCTAGAGCAGCATTCCCCACTCCCCTGCCCAGCACGATGCCCTCGCCCTGGCYGCCCTCTGTTGGCGATCTCGCCCGCCGGACGCGCTTTCTCCCCGCTCCGCCACCACAGGCAGCGTTTGCTTCTCCCGRTTCTCTCCAGCTTACTCACACCTTCCTGAAGGCATCATGCCCAGACTTGGATATACTATTCAACTATATCCTCATCTGTTACATAAAGAATGAAAAAGGTTACAGCTGCCGTTCTCAAATTCTGTATGTCATTATGTGCTAAAATAGTATTTATTTGCAGCAACATCTCACTATTAATTATTTAAATTCTGGTATCCTGTAGCTCTCACATCCAATTTCAATATAATGCTTGTAACCTATTATTTCAGTTTATATTAATACATCTGCTTTCTTTTTCAAAGTGCACTGCTTTGCACTTTATTTTAAATACACTCTAAGTAATATGGAATTACATATGTCAAAATATTTTTCTCCTCATTTTTGTCTCCCCAAGTGATTAAAATCTTTCCCAGAACAATATCACAAATCTTGCATACATACTTTCATTACCAAAACTGATGAAAATAYTGAATCAGACCAAGTTCGAGCCTGGAATGCCCCTTGAAATGCCATTTCACTTTSACAAGGAATGGCTAATGATTAGACCCAAATGCATTACCAAAAAAATTAATAATTCATTAAAAAGACTAGGTGCTAGCATGTAGGTCAAATAGCTTCTTTAGTATTTCTTTAAAATTGAACTGTGTCAAAATCTTAGCAAAGTTAAATTAGATGCTATTTACCCCATTAGCAACAAGTAAACTTGCTTGTCAAAGATGAACGTGGTCTTCTAATCAATTTTAGTTGCTCAGGTTGTTTTCAACTGAACAGGAGCTAAAAGTTTTTATTGTCCAAGTTTTCCAGCAGCTTTGGTACTCCATCTGCCAGATGAAGCCATTGGACTCTACAGCATTGACATCTTGAAGGATTGATTACATATGATAAATGGATATTTCACGAAATGACTGCTAACGCTACAGTGCGCTTTTCGAGACAGGAAAATGTTACAGGTTGCTGATATTAAGTAGCAGAACGTAGCAAATTGCCCGTAGTGCTGCTGTTGCCTGATATGTGTTTGCTTTGGCTCATACATGCTGGAATACATGTAAAGTGTGTACAGCTGATCCACAGCCYGGGGAAGCTGATTCAGAGTATCACATGGGCCAGGTAAGCCCTACTGGAACAGGATGTGAGTCTGCACAGAACGGTCTTGACACATACAGCTTAATTGACGAGTTATGTAATATTATTACAAGTCTGCCCTTTTTGGTTCTTTCCTTTTCTTTGTGAACACAGCTCTTGGTTGTATAATGTTTAAAATAGCTGCAAACTTGCTGTGTGTGATCCATAAATTTTACTAAATCTGTGACAAGCATAATACTTTTTGAGTCTTATAAAAGTATCCAAGGACATAAGCATAAATCCAACTGGTCAAGCAGCTGTGTGAACCATTATGATCCTGTTTAGTTAGAGTAAAAGCAGTAAACAGAGGAGAGATTTTTTTACCAGATCACATGGAAAAGAATGTGTCTTTTTGCCAGGATAATCTGTTTGAATTCACATATGTGAAAACCATCACAGCGACATTCAGCAGCCACAGACACAGCACTACTCCCCTAAGTTACACAAAAGCTTCCTGCTACTTGGCAGAGTTTCTCTGAAGGGCCTAAAATACAGACACAGTCTGAARAGTGAAGGTAGGCTTACAACAAAAAAGTGCACACACAAACACACACACACATCCACTGACCCACGCATCCAACCGACTGCAAGATTATGACAAATTGTTGTACACCTTTACAGAAGGATTAAAAAATTATCGTACAGGAAAAATGATTTAGGCTGGCTCTTTTAAAAATCTTTCTGAAAAAGTGGATCAGTCCCGGGACAGTGTGGTTGCCCTGGCCCTCCACGCCACCCCTATTTGACGCTAAGTATCTGTATCTTGTAGATTCTGATGCAGTTCAGTAAACCAGATGGTCTTTTCTTGCCTCATCCTTTTGAGTAATCCCTCACAATTCTAGGAATTCCCTGGCAAATTCAAATTGTTCGCTGCAGTGCCGCGCACCGTTGGTCCCTCCCTGGGGCCGGCGGGCTCGCCCTCAGACGGAACGGGCGCCGTTAACGCGCACCGCGGGCTCGGAGAAAAACGGCCCGTCCGAGCCGGCGAGGGAGCGGCTTCTAAACACGGTTACGCAGACCTGAGGCAGGTAYTCAGGAGCGAACACCCGCGCTGGAATCGCACTCGGGACGCGGTTGCGGT